CGGACTCCTCTATTAGAGATCCATCTGTGAAAAACGTTCTTGCAGAATCAACATGGCCAAACTTTGCAGAGTCTAATGACGGAGCAATCATAGGATGATGATGCTCTGGAATTCCGCGGATTTCCTGCGTCATAGATATATCAAAATTCACTGAATTGCCGAAATCGGAGAACACTACACGATTGGGAATATTTCTTGAAGGGCTGACATCCTGTGTTGAATATAGGTAGTACAAAGTCATAAAACATGTTTGAGGATTTAGCTCCAGAAGCTTCTCAAAATTTTCGATCACCAGTGGGTTCATTACTTCGCAACGGGTGAGGAGCCTCAGAGATAACTCTGAAAAACGGACGGATAGTGGCAACATGCCCGTCAGCACTTCGAAACTCATAGTATGAGTCGAGTGCATGCATCCTAACGCGATACGAAGACAACGATACTGGATCCGTTCCAGCTTGATGATGTGCGTTTTAGCTGCCGACTGGAAACAAAAACTACCGTACTCTAAAACCGATAAAATCGTTGTCCGGTACAACGTCAGAAGATCTTGCGGATGGGCTCCCCACCACGTTCCGGTTGATCGAAGGAAATTGATCCTTAGTTGGCATTTTCGTCTCAGATACTCAATGTGGGATCGCCAGGTGTATTCGGAATCGAACCAGACCCCGAGATATCTGAAAGACATAGAATGAGTGATCGGTTTACCCAAAAGTTGAAGCTTCGGTTGTGCTGGGCTATGCTTCCTAGAAAAAACGACCAACTCAGTTTTCTCCGTGGAGAATTCGATACCTAGCTGGATAGCCCAAGTAGAAAAATTGTCTAAGGTATCCTGTAAGGGTCCTTGCAGGTCGATCCCTTTGGGCCCTGTCATAGACACTACGCCGTCATCTGCAAGTTGTCTCAACGTGCAGTTGTCACTTAGACAATTGTCAATTTGTCCAACGTAGAAATTATACAATAAGGGGCTTAAACATGAGCCCTGGGGGAGACCCATGTAACTAAATCGAGAAGCTGTAGAGTTTCCATGAGAAAAGCTCATATGTTTCTCTGACAGCAAATTGTACAAAAAGTTTGAATTTCTGTGGAAAGGTGTTCGAACCTGACGTTTGGTTTTATTTCCGTTCTGTTTTTTTTTATCTATAATCGGTTGCTGATCTGGCCATAACCAGGCCCAAGAGACAATTTCTAGGTCCCTATTATTTGCCACTGAGAAGCTGTTCCGAAGCTAAGTAGAACCTCCACGAGGCGTTCCATCATTCGTCCCATCATTAGTTCCTTCATTCGTTCAGTCGCAGCGTTGAATCTGAGTATTGGCACGAAAAGGCTTGCCAATGCACACCAAAAATTGACTATTTACATCCGAACATTTGTTTATCTCAAATCGCAGGAAGACATTTCGCGCAATTACCATAAACTGGACTAGTTTATGTTGATCTTCGTCAAGCTTCGTCTACAATTTGGACTTCTACATCAACACATGTCAGGCAGCCTTCAGGTGCAATTGGCTAAACTTGGTGACTTTTTATGACTTGATAATAATGGTAAGACTCGGGTTCTGCATTTCTATATTGTATATTTCAAATAAAAAATATTGTTTATCCTTTTCCCTTTGTCCTTCTCCTTTTCCCTTTGTCCTTCTCCTTTTCCTTTCCCTCTTCTCTTTTCAGAAAGCGAGTAATGGCGCTATAGCCATCAGTCATAAAAGGCTAGGACAAGAGTCAGTGCTCATGCACCAACCGTTAGAAGAAAATGGAGCATCACACCTTTCTACCTTTGATGCTTCCAACGACCAACCAATCATAAAATTACCAAAATCGGAACGTACGGTACGAGATGTCCACGTTTCATCCATTTATTGGATTCTGAAGCATCGTGTTAAAATCTTCGATTCAAACAGGCCCGATCTTTTCTGAATCATCTTGCCCCTTAAATGCTGCACAGTAGGCCTGGCCGTTTTGGTATATGTGACGCATCTTGGATGTGAAACATATATCAAGTAGACAAGAAAAATGATGTAGGTATATATATAATTTTCCAGGATGCTTTCAAGAACTGGATTAGATTAGAGATTAGATTAGAAAAGCCAACTGAATTTCTGTGGAAAGCAACGCGAGACAGTCTTTCGTTCCCTTGCCCCTACGGAAACCAAATTGAGTATCTGAGAGTAGGGGGTTCATCTCAACCCATTTGTCCAAGCGAAAAAGGATCATTTTATCCAACAATTTTCAAATGCACGATAACATCGCGATGGGACGATACGAGTTATGATCTGTCGCGGGTTTTCCAGGTTTAATTGATGGCTATAACTCTCACCCGCCTCCAATCATCTGGAACAATATTAAGCTCCACGAACTGACAAAACAAGTTCAACATGCGCCTCTTAGTGACGTCTGGTAGGATCGTCAACAAGTCGAACTTGATCCTATCAGCATTGGCGTAGCTAGTAGATGTATCTGGAGGGGGTCTGGGAGTGGGGGCTGTTGCATTTTTTTTATTTTGCTAAACTACGGTTAAAAAAATCTCGCTAAGATTCTATTCTATCAAATTGCGTCAAGGCAACAACATTAGGTATATGCAGAAATCTCCATCGCTTCGTTGAAATGTTTGTCCGTAATTTAGCTAATTCATGGAGCGCTAATTCTTGAAAAAATAGCTAAATCACCAAGACATGGGTCTTTCCTATTTAATGTACAATCATTTCCATCAAGCGGCAGGGAAGCGGCGCGCAGCGCATGGGTTTCGTAGAACATAAGAAAAGATTTTAAAGAAAGCGGCTGACAAAATCGGGTCATTACTGTAGTAGTTTGCTTGGAAGTCGACTTGAAGAAACGTTTTACTGCCGCCATGGCGCGTATACTCAAAAGAAAAGAGCTTGATCCCTCTTCCGATGAAATTAATTTGAGCAATCAATTTGATTTGCTCACGGGTGATGATAATGATCTATCATTCAGGAAAAATTCTAAGAACCTTTCACGGCTTAATTCAAAGAAGGAAAAGGTGTCCCCTATTGTGATAACCACCTCCGAATTTCATGAAATTCAAATTTTCACTTCAAATTGGCCGTCGGAGTATTGGCTGAAAACTTGGACGGATTCAAACGTCTTCTCAAGTATCTTACTGAGAAGCAGAACAAATTTTTCACTTACGACACCAACATTGAACGTCTGTTCAAGTTTGTGTTGAAAGGTCTGCCCAGTTGTGACTTGGCATACTTTCCTGTTCCAATTTTGAATCCGTATAAAAATCCAGCTGATTATTCTAGCTACCATCCAATAAGTTTGCTTTCAGCAATAAGTAAACTTTCTGAAAAGATATTTTTTAATAGAATGATTCAAACTTAATTTTTGCAGATGAGCAGTTTGGATTTCACCATGGGCATTCAACTACTCATCAACTCTTAAGAGTTACCAATTTAATTCGTTCAAACAAATCTGAAGGCCACTCAACTGGAGTTGCTCTTCTAGACATAGAAAAAACATTCGACAGTGTTTGGCATGAAGGTTTGATTGCTAAATTGAAAAAGTTTAGTTTTTCACTCTATATCATGAAATTAGTTCATAATTATTAAACGAAACTCTGTAGGTGAATTATCAAAATTCTAAATCTGAATGACCACCTGTTAGAGCAAGAATTCCTCAGGGTAGCATTCTTGGGCCTATGTTGCATAACATTTTCACTTCGGACCTCCCTGTTTAAAATACTAAACTGCCAAGGCAGGAACAATGTAAACACACTTAGATATATATCATAACAATTATAGCTGATAAGTTACTGTAGTAGCTGGAGCATCTAGGTTAAAATGAAATGTAATTTAAAGTGCGGACACTGCTTCGATTACCGAGAATACTCAAATTCCTCTATCCAGTGTTAGTTACGATCTCTTTTTCTAGGAGAAAAATGAAAATTTCTCATCAATACGGTTTGAACCGTCACATTACTAAGCATGTATTTAGCAACCCTCATTTAAGCCATCGTCAGGTCATAATGACCGATTAAGCGGACCGTCCCCCCCGCCCTTTCAGCAAACAGTTATCGAAGTTTCCAACAGACCGCATCTCCTTATCAATTCCCATCTACCACAGTAAACTGGAGAAAGTTTTTCCCCCCCTCGTTTGGCACACTAATTTCCCATCCCAGGACGACCAAGTATCACGATGATCCGATGGAGCGAGCATCGGTCGCGGTTACTTCGGCAAACTGTAATTACAATTATCACGCCCCTCACTCCGTCCCGAAATCACACAGTCAAATAAAACGTTCCAACAGGGAGAAGACAGAAATTTGAACTTTTCCAACTCCCAGCCCCACCCAGGAAGCCACGACCTTGCAGATATCCGCCCGATTTTAACTCTCACGGTCATCATCGAGCTGCTTCCTATCTACCTACCTAGTGCCGGAAGTAAGTCAGGAAGTGTGAAAACTTTGCGCAATTTTTTGCACGAGATAAGAGACGACATCATTTAAATAAATTTACAACCCCCACACGGACACCTCCGAACGGAGCCAAAGGAGTAGGATTTTTGCCTCGTCGCCAATAAAAGCAAGGGAAAACTTTTTTCTCTCGCTCTCTGTCCTCATTCGAGCGCATGAAGAGGTGCACCGACGATACTTCCGGGGATAGTTTTCTGAAGAATAAATCGATGCGGAAGAAGTTTTTACCCCAAAGTTTTCCAGCCGGTTGGGTGACCAGTACGAATGGCGGAAGAACACTACCCAGTATCAGCAATAATGATTGGAATTTGCCAAGATGGTCTTCTGCGGCCGGGAGGCAGCCGGAGGATGACCGGAAACCATGGAATACTTTTTAACGAGTTTATTTCGAAAACGGGAAAAGGTAAGTTTCCGGGCGTTCAAAAAAAAGGACAAATGGGTTGACGGTAAATCAAAAGTTTTATGCTGGCCTGCCCAAGGAAGGCCGACCCGGCTGCTGACTGATTGCCTCAATTGGATCCCATTTAAACTGAAACACAAATCGAGGGCTTATTGGTATGGTTACTCACCTCCTTTCTCCACGGCATCCACCACCTCACTCACGTTGCTGCCGGTATCCTTCATGGGAACGTTCACCGAGGAATACAGCGGAGATTTGTGGGCAAAGTGCTTCACGTAGATGGCATCGGTCGAGTCAGCATTTAGGTCGTTTTCGGTTTTGCATGCCACCAGGAATGTTTCGCAGGGAAGACTTATGAATTGGTCGTTGCCGGGGGGTGGCCCGTTGGTCCCCACTGGATCTCCGTTGAGGGCATACATCGTCGGAGCGTCCAGGGCTTCGTTGTCCAGGTTGTTCAGCTCGTAGGCGTTCGCAGTGGCAACTGGCGGGATGGGAAAGATGTTGGAAAGCTCTCGACTGTTGAAAGAATTATAGCTACACACTTACCGGAAAACTGAAACCTCGGCTTCCGCGACGACATCGGAGTACTGCCGCTCTCACCCGCCAGATTCAGAAAGTTAGGCCTCTTCTGCTGCTCCCCTTCGTCTTCGTATAAACTTTCGATATCGATCTCATCATCACAGTAGTATGACTCGTCCAAATTCTCCTGAACCATCACATTCCCCGCACCACCGCAAGATCTGCAAGAGCCATTATGGAACAACCCTCCGGGAACCATCTGTGCCACCGGTTGGTGGTGATGCATCGAACCACCCTGACTGACGATCGTTGACGTTTCCGAATCCGAATAGTTGGACGTTTCACCTCCGGAATGTTGATAGCCGTGATTGTCGTAGGTTCGCTGTTGTTGCTGGGGCAATCCCCTTCGTAGTCTTCGTGGCGACGCGTTACTCGACTTAACCGACGAGCTCGTCGATCCACTGCCTCCACCCGAATTGTTCGTCGCTATCGATTGCTTTCGATAGGCAATGTCCGTCAGAAGGTTCAGGGCTTCGGGTCTTAGATTCGGTTTCGGTTTCCCCGTTCCACCGACCGTTGATGTGGAGTCCGATTTGGTCAGCATATTCTCTCCGTCCATTCGGCGTTCCCCAAGCGTGGGTGACTGGGCCGAAAGCGGGGTCTGGGCTTGGTCCCGATATAGTCGCAGCTTGACTACTTCGGCCGCCTGTCGGAGGAATATCACAGCCTCTTCGTGGGTCATCTGCGAGATAGGAACATCGTTGACGGCCATAATTTTGTCGCCCGGTTTGATGCGACCGTCATTCAGGGCCGGGTCCCGCACCAGAGCGCGGACGCAGTGCCCCAGGATGGATTCGTCCTCCTTGCGAAGGGTGAACCCCAGCGAACCCTGCTGCTTGGTGAGGATGATTTCGAATTCCTGGGGAAAGGGGATGAAAGAGAAATTGTGAACGGGGATTTTTGAATAGTGAAATTAAGTCCTGGTTGAGCAGCAAGGGAAGCGTGAATAACGGAAATGGTACTTATGTTAGCTGCACCCTTGAGGGGGAAAAAATGCTGTAGAGCGCAAGCTGTGGCATTGGAATCTGTCCAACTGCTGTTGCTCGGAGTGCTTTCAATTTGCGAGCAAGAGGATGGCTCATTGCAATCATTTATGCATTCCACTTGCTTACTTTTATTTCTAAATGGAAGTATGCACAACCTGATGGATTTCCTCGGGTGAAAGATCGACGATTCAATTGGATTTAGAAGAGACGAACCAGCTCAGGGTTGAAAGTCTCTATAATAAAGTAAAAGAGGAGAGAAGAATTCTGTATAGGTGGAATCATTTTCTGTTTTCATTTTCCAATTGGTCAGTTATCAATATCCAATTGGTAGAATTTCCATTTTTCATTTCATTTCCAATGGCTAATTTCCAATTTCCAATTTCCGATTTCCGATTTCCGATTTTTTCCGATTTCCGATTTTTTTCGATTTCCGATTTTTTTTTCCGATTTCCGATTTTTTTTCGATTTCTTCCGATTTTGAATTTTTTTGATTTCGGATTTTTTCGATTTCGGATTTTTTCCGATTTCTGATTTCCGATTTCCGATTTCCGATTTCCGATTTCCTATTTCCGATTTCCGATTTCCGATTTTTTCCGATTTCCGATTTTTTTTCAATTTCTTCCGATTTCGGATTTTTTCGATTTCGGATTTCCTGGAAATCCCGGAAATTGATCGATGTTAAAACCGAACTCAGCCACGGTTGCCAAAATTAAACTTCTAGTCGGTCAGAAATAACCATGCTTGGACATCAGGGTTTTTAGATAACTCATCTGTCACTTTTAACCACGAGGTCAATTTAACTCGCCCATTGGGACACATCCTTGGAAGTAAAATTAGAGATCATCCATAAATGAGGTAGAATTATTTTGACCAATTAGCCCCCTTTCCCCCTCGTAGCGTGTTTTACTATACCTAATTCATGGCCGGTCACAACTTCTGAAACCCCTCTCCTGCCTCAACTACTGTGTTATTTATGAAAGTTTCCCAAGCATTGGGCAACAGTGAAAATCAGCAGCACACACACAATTTCGATTTCCGATTTCCGATTTCCGATTTCCAATTTCCGATTTCCGATTTCCGATTTCCGATTTCCGATTTCCGATTTCCGATTTCCGATTTCCGATTTCCGATTTCCGATTTCCAAAATTAAACTTCTAGTCGGTCAGAAATAACCATGCTTGGACATCAGGGTTTTTAGATAACTCATCTGTCACTTTTAACCACGAGGTCAATTTAACTCGCCCATTGGGACACATCCTTGGAAGTAAAATTAGAGATCATCCATAAATGAGGTAGAATTATTTTGACCAATTAGCCCCCTTTCCCCCTCGTAGCGTGTTTTACTATACCTAATTCATGGCCGGTCACAACTTCTGAAACCCCTCTCCTGCCTCAACTACTGTGTTATTTATGAAAGTTTCCCAAGCATTGGGCAACAGTGAAAATCAGCAGCACACACACAATTTCGATTTCCAATTTCCGATTTCCGATTTCCGATTTCCGATTTCCGATTTCCGATTTCCGATTTCCGATTTCCGATTTCCGATTTCCGATTTCCGATTTCCGATTTCCGATTTCCGATTTCCGATTTCCGATTTCCGATTTCCGATTTCCGATTTCCGATTTCCGATTTCCGATTTCCGATTTCCGATTTCCGATTTCCGATTTCCGATTTCCGATTTCCGATTTCCGATTTCCGATTTCCGATTTCCGATTTCCGATTTCCGATTTCCGATTTCCGATTTCCGATTTCCGATTTCCGATTTCCGATTTCCGATTTCCGATTTCCGATTTCCGATTTCCGATTTCCGATTTCCGATTTCCGATTTCCGATTTCCGATTTCCGATTTCCGATTTCCGATTTCCGATTTCCGATTTCCGATTTCCGATTTCCGATTTCCGATTTCCAATTTCCAATTTCCGATTTCCGATTTCCGATTTCCGATTTCCGATTTCCGATTTCCGATTTCCGATTTCCGATTTCCGATTTCCAATTTCCGATTTCCGATTTCCGATTTCCGATTTCCGATTTCCGATTTCCGATTTTCGATTTCCGATTTCCGATTTCCGATTTCCGATTTCCGATTTCCGATTTCCGATTTCCGATTTCCAATTTCCGATTTCCGATTTCCGATTTCCGATTTCCGATTTCCGATTTCCGATTTCCGATTTCCGATTTCCGATTTCCGATTTCCGATTTCCGATTTCCGATTTCCGATTTCCGATTTCCGATTTCCGATTTCCGATTTCCGATTTCCGATTTCCGATTTCCGATTTCCGATTTCCGATTTCCGATTTCCGATTTCCGATTTCCGATTTCCGATTTCCGATTTCCGATTTCCGATTTCCGATTTCCGATTTCCGATTTCCGATTTCCAATTTCCGATTTCCGATTTCCGATTTCCAATTTCCAATTTCCAATTTCCGATTTCCGATTTCCGATTTCCGATTTCCGATTTCCGATTTCCAATTTCCGATTTCCGATTTCCGATTTCCGATTTCCGATTTCCGATTTCCGATTTCCGATTTCCGATTTCCGATTTCCGATTTCCGATTTCCGATTTCCGATTTCCGATTTCCGATTTCCGATTTCCGATTTCCGATTTCCGATTTCCGATTTCCGATTTCCGATTTCCGATTTCCGATTTCCGATTTCCGATTTCCGATTTCCGATTTCCGATTTCCGATTTCCGATTTCCGATTTCCGATTTCCGATTTCCGATTTCCGATTTCCGATTTCCGATTTCCGATTTCCGATTTCCGATTTCCGATTTCCGATTTCCGATTTCCGATTTCCGATTTCCGATTTCCGATTTCCGATTTCCGATTTCCGATTTCCGATTTCCGATTTCCGATTTCCGATTTCCAATTTCCGATTTCCGATTTCCGATTTCCAATTTCCGATTTCCGATTTCCGATTTCCGATTTCCGATTTCCGATTTCCGATTTCCGATTTCCGATTTCCGATTTCCGATTTCCGATTTCCGATTTCCGATTTCCGATTTCCGATTTCCGATTTCCGATTTCCGATTTCCGATTTCCGATTTCCGATTTCCGATTTCCGATTTCCGATTTCCGATTTCCGATTTCCGATTTCCGATTTCCGATTTCCGATTTCCGATTTCCGATTTCCGATTTCCGATTTCCGATTTCCGATTTCCGATTTCCGATTTCCGATTTCCAATTTCCGATTTCCGATTTCCGATTTCCAATTTCCGATTTCCGATTTCCGATTTCCGATTTCCGATTTCCGATTTCCAATTTCCGATTTCCGATTTCCGATTTCCGATTTCCGATTTCCGATTTCCGATTTTCGATTTCCGATTTCCGATTTCCGATTTCCGATTTCCGATTTCCGATTTCCGATTTCCGATTTCCAATTTCCGATTTCCGATTTCCGATTTCCGATTTCCGATTTCCGATTTCCGATTTCCGATTTCCGATTTCCGATTTCCGATTTCCGATTTCCGATTTCCGATTTCCGATTTCCGATTTCCGATTTCCGATTTCCGATTTCCGATTTCCGATTTCCGATTTCCGATTTCCGATTTCCGATTTCCGATTTCCGATTTCCGATTTCCGATTTCCGATTTCCGATTTCCGATTTCCGATTTCCGATTTCCGATTTCCGATTTCCGATTTCCGATTTCCGATTTCCGATTTCCGATTTCCGATTTCCGATTTCCGATTTCCGATTTCCGATTTCCGATTTCCGATTTCCGATTTCCGATTTCCGATTTCCGATTTCCAATTTCCGATTTCCAATTTCCAATTTCCAATTTCCGATTTCCGATTTCCGATTTCCGATTTCCGATTTCCGATTTCCAATTTCCGATTTCCGATTTCCGATTTCCGATTTCCGATTTCCAATTTCCGATTTCCGATTTCCGATTTCCGATTTCCGATTTCCGATTTCCGATTTCCGATTTCCGATTTCCGATTTCCGATTTCCGATTTCCGATTTCCGATTTCCGATTTCCGATTTCCGATTTCCGATTTCCGATTTCCGATTTCCGATTTCCGATTTCCGATTTCCGATTTCCGATTTCCGATTTCCGATTTCCAATTTCCGATTTCCGATTTCCGATTTCCGATTTCCGATTTCCGATTTCCGATTTCCGATTTCCGATTTCCGATTTCCGATTTCCGATTTCCGATTTCCGATTTCCGATTTCCGATTTCCGATTTCCGATTTCCAATTTCCAATTTCCGATTTCCGATTTCCGATTTCCGATTTCCGATTTCCGATTTCCGATTTCCGATTTCCGATTTCCGATTTCCGATTTGCGATTTCCGATTTCTGATTTTTGATTTTTGATTTCTGATTGCCGATTTCTGATTTCTGATTTCTGATTTTTGATTTCTGATTTCTGACTTTTAACTTTTGACTTTTGATTTCTAACTTCTGACTTCTGACTCCCGTTTTCTGTCATCGGACATCTGACCTCTGCCTTCTGACTTCTGCCTTCTACCTTCTACCTGTTGACTTTTTTTACTGCTGATTTTTTTTTTTAATTTGTCTTCCGACTTTTTACTTGTGACCCATTAGATTATAAAATTATACCTACGCGAAATAAGTGTCGAAGTGAAAACGAAAATTATAGCCCATGATTTGATCCCCTTACTTTTAAATTTTGAATTGTAGCTTCTGACTTCTGGCTTATGACTTTCGACATCCGACTTCTGGCTTCTGACAACTAACTATTGTCTTCTACCTTCTGACTTCCATCTTTGGACTTCTGACTTTTGACTCCTGGCATCTGATTTCTGGCTTGTGACTACTGACTGACGGTTATCTGACTGCTGATTTCTAATTTATGACTTCTGATTTCTGATTTCTAACTTTTGACTTCTGATATTTGATTTCTAACTT